GAGTTGTAAATGTCTATTTGCCATTTGAAAATTGAATGGCATTCTCCCAACAAGGAAGCTTAGAAAACAGTGCATGCATTCTTTAGGACATGTGTGAACTTCCATCTCTTGACTGGAACTGCCTCCTGCACAAAGTAAAGGAGACCCAAAGATCTCTGAACCCTACCGACTGCAATGTCTGTTTCTTTCAGTTTCAGAGAGATGGAGAGGATGAGTCTCTCATCAGCTTCCTTGTAGTTCTGAGGCCAGAAATAGTGGATATAAAAGCAGAGTTACTTTTTTTTTTTTTTTTTTTTTTTTTTTTTTTAGGGTATATTTAGGTTCTCCAGCTTCTCTCAAAAGATTTTACCTTTAAAGTACATGAATAGTTTTCCCTGCTGTGCTCTGAAACACAATGACTTCCAGAGCTGGAAAGACAGTCAGTGCTTCCACTACAACAGATGAACATTTTATATCTTCCTGTGAGGCATTCCTGACTGAGCCTGGGTCTGAAGACAAGGGAGAGCTGGGATATTGAAAGGGGGCAAAAGAAAAGATACGTCTAGTTACCCAGTTGGCTAAGAGGTCTTCTTGCTCTACTCGAGCCCAATGTGTCTTCTCTCTCTGATAATGTACTGTTCTCCAACTCTCAGATCAGGTCCCGGGCTGGAGCACATTCAGAGGACTGGCAATGTCTGTGATTCTCCTTCCCTTACTTACCAGCTCCCTCAGAGCTGTCATTTTACCCAGAACAAAAAACAATTCAGAGGGAAATAGGCCTTCAAACTACAAGGTGGCTATCCCTAACTCTTGCTTTCTGAGCTGATATTTCAATCTCCCACAGAGGGATCCTAGCAAATCTATGCATCCTATAGATTTCTCAGATTTGGGTTGTACCTCTGTTTCATCCACTTCTAAATACAGTTGACTCTTGCTGGTTTGGGAATGGCCCTTGAATCCAGATGAGATTTTTGGTCTGCCTTCCTGTAAGGTAAGTCACTTTGTGATGGCTCACACTAATTTGATAATTTAACTCACAGAATCAAAAAAACCCACATATATCAAATCTGTGAGGAAAGAATTGGGCACAGGAACTTCAGAGTTTTTTCTGGCACATGCTGAAAACTTCCCTAGCATTAATGCTTTTTGATGTAAAATAAGACAGTATGATATTTATCAGAACAGTTTTTGTGTCCAGTAAGGAGATTGCCACAATCTCTGCTTTGTATATTCAGCCGTTATTTCACCTCATCAAGCAATATGGCTGGGGGAAAGGAAGCCATAACAGCAGGCAATCACCAACAGACATGTAAGAAAGGAATTTGTAGGTTTGTTTCCTTTCCTGAACTTTGCCAGACAGCTTTGGAAAATAAGTGCTATTTAGCCTCTAAATAGGAACCAAGTTGTGTTTATCTATCTGCTGCGTTAGTTTATTGTGCTATCGAGTTTCCGGGGGAATGGGTGAATGACAGAAGGGAAACGAAACACTTTCTGTATCACATACCTTCAATAACGTCATAACTCATATGTGGAAGACCTGTTGCTCTGAGAATATAAAAGGATCGTGCTAATTTCAGAGTGACTCACAGTCCAATCTGTTCCTTTGTGCAGAGACACAGCTTACAGAGCTGTGGCTCATCACAGTATAAAGCATTGCTTCCTCCTACTGATACAGAATACTCCTAATTTTGAGGCTTTTCCTCCTTTCTTCAATTAGTTAGTAAGCGCTTCTGATCCCATCTCTCCACTTAGGGACTGAGGGTCACACCAAGTCCTTCACTAAGGTTCATCAGAAGAACTAAGCAGGGTCTAAATGGGGCATAAACATGAGAAATTTCCAGTAGGACTTGCAAGGTAAGTCAGAGTTTGGTTGTCCATCTCTGGAACAAACTGCTGATCAAAGTCCTAAAGCCTCCAGTGTTGTGTTAAATTGCATGTGGCTTGTGGGGGTGTAGTGTTCAACAGTGACAGCTCTGCTTATCAGTTCAGGCAGACTTGGAGCACGCTGCTCCTGCTGCACTTACACTGAAGCTTGTATCATGCAAAGTGAGACAGAAAATCAGAAGTCGAGCATCTGCTGACCTACCCATCACTGGTGTTCTGTGTGGGATGTGCTCTCTATCCTGAAACATGCCACCCTCTGTCTCTAAATCCACAAGGACATGTGGCAAGAAGACACTTTTGGCTGTATTGAGGGAACTCCTTCAAATATAGGATGGGAACCATTGTCCTCTGTTTGGTTGTGCTTCAGCAGGACTGTCTAATGTGGCTCTGGCCCTCCTGTCCAGGAGAAGTAACTGAATCAGCATATCTGTTAATGAAAGCAAAGGTATTCACTAGTTAATGAGAAAGGTATCACTGTGTTGCAGAAATCCATTTTGACTGCAACACTGATTTAAGAAACATACCTGAATAAAAAGGTTTTGCACTACAGAGATATTAATAGAAGTGGCAACAGGGGGAAATACCAGAGAAATCTAAGGTGCCTGTGTTTTGGATTGTTGGTAGTTACAGTACAAACCAGCCAAATCACTAGTAATCCATGCATCATGAACAGCATTGTTGCTGCTACACAGAATACACAAGTGGTGCTACTATGCCAAGTCATAAAACTGAACACAACAAGAAGCACTCATTTCCAAGGAAGAGCTTTGATTCCTAATGCAGCAGGTGTTCAGAGGTTTTGTTTTGCTGTTTCACCCAAGAAATCTAAACTGGAGTCAAAGGTTAGGCAAGAGCTGCCTTGCAGTGCCAAGCTCATCAAGTCAACCTGACATCTAACAAAAAATATCTCTCGAAAAAAAAATATGGGTGGTTTTCTCCAATGCTGCATGCTATTATGCTGTTCAGTATTTGGAGGTATGGCATACCATATGTTGTACTGCTCTCTAGGTAGCTATGTTTGGACCCTGATAGACCACTTGGACGGCCAACTTCTCAGCTATGTATGAATCCAGCTTGGAGGCTTGGTCACCAAAACAAGCCAATAGCTCATACATCCACTCTTTTCGCAACGATGACCTTTTTCTGTGGTGGCATGAGGTCAGGGAGTTGTGCCTCAAACTTTTAGTGACTAGCAGTGGCCACGTCGTATCCTGTCTGAAAGAGGTATTATCAACAGAAGGGACTGGTGTTCAGCAGGGACCTTTCTTTGAGGGAGATCAGGAACAGTGGAACAGCTGTGGGTGGAGGTGAGTTTTGCCACACTGCTGAAGCTTGAACAAATGGTCTAGAGGTCAGTTAAGAGAAGAGAGGTAATTTCTAGCTACCAGTCTCCTTCCCACCACAATCGTCTGACTGTGACCTGTGCAAACCACCCCCAGGCAGACAGATACTGACCTCCTGTGGGCCCTGGTCTGACCAACAGAAATGCTATGCTCAAAAGGCCTCTTCCGGGGCATGAGGTTCCTCAGCTAAATGGAAAGCAAAGGAATGAGAAGAAGCCCTTTGAGTAGTTTAACAAATCTGTTTGTCATCCACCTGAATTATATGCTTCCCTTTCATGTATTTTTTGCTTTTGGTGAAACTAAAAAAAGAAAGGCCTGAGCACATTCTGGCATGAAAGAGCAGACCGCTTCCTCAAACCTGGTGATTCCAGGTAAGCGTATCCTTTACACAAAGCTGGTATCAACGTTTTACAAGACTAGCAGCCCCGATGCATTTAGAAGTGGAGGGAAATGTTATACAAAGGGGGAATTACTCATGTCAAAATCTTTCAGACTAGTACAGCTATGTGACCTGCGTCACCTTTGGGCAGATGCTCTTTCTTGTGCACACTATTTTTCCTTGTCTATTCCTAATGATACTAAGAGTTGCAGAATAACTTATAGGTATGCTATTTTACCTTCTTGGGCTATCTTCTCTTTGCCTGCTATTTAAAGACATGCATTATTTTTTCATCAGTATGCAGTCTGGGCTGCTTCTTTCTGGACTGTTTGTCACATCTCCTGTGTCCTGGTTTGGGCTGGAATATAGTTAATGTTCCCTTTTGGTAACTAGAATAGTGCTGTGTTTTAGATTCAGCATTGGGTTTGGTATGGGAAGAATGCTGATAGCACACTGACGTTCTCAGCTGCTACTGAGACTTCAATGACTCTCTGAATCCCCATGTCCTGCCTGTCTGCAAGTGCACAAGAAGCAGGGAGGGAGCACGGCCAGAGCACAGGAACCAAATTGGCCAATGAAATATTCCATATCATGGAACGTCATGCTCACTATATAGAGGAGGGGTGGTTGGGAAGGAGCTCTTGCTCTCTCTCGCTTCCTGGATTGTGATTGTGGGATCTTGGTATTTCAGGATTGCTGGCCAGGAATGGTCTGGGTGTGGGTCAGCGGGTGGTGAGCAATTGCATTGTGCATTGCCGGTTTATATTTCTATTACTGTCATTGTTTTCTTTTTATTAACATTATTAAACTGTTCCTATCTCAACCTGTGAGTGTCCCTTTACCCCTCCAATGCCCACCCCCATTCCCAGGTGTGGGAGGGAGGGTGGGTGATCAGCTGCGGAGTGGTTGGCTGCCGACCAGGCTCAAACCACAACATCCTGCTAGACAGCCAAAGGAGGATGGATGTTCTCTGTTGAAGATATCAGTGCTCGGACATTTGAGCAGCATCTCAGTAACAGAGAAAACATGTTTTTTTAGCAAACAATACCAGGTCTGCAGAAACCAGTTCTTGCTTCTTGTCACCAGATGGTGCTCCAGTGCTGGACAACTGCTGCCTCAGTCACCCACTCAAGCACCATGTTCTGAAGCTTTGGGCTGCCTGGTCTCCTACCAGATCATTTTCATTAATCTCTTTTGTACTTTTGATTGCCTCTGGCTCAGGCCCTTCATCGGCAAGGGTGAGTGAGCCCCCAGCCTGCTTCTCACGAGTAGTTTTTTAATTGAATTGGTTAGTTCACAGGATTTGTCCAAAATGGTGTGTGGTGTGTTTGTCACCTCTTGTATTACTCCTACAGCATGCATTTCTAGTTGGATCTGGCCATGCTTCAGGCCTTTTCTGCTCACCAGATCTCTTTTTTGAGCATGGCATTTTCCTGTCATTATTAGTTACTTCTTCACCAAAGATTCCAAAGCCTTCTAGTTTTGTTCAAGCACCTCCAGCTACACTGAAGACCAACTGGATAGACAATGTTTGACATACTTGGAGTGACTGTCTTCAGGATAGTTTTGTTCTCGTGTAGAGGTCTTGAACCTGGGAAGAAATCAGGCAATCCTTCATCACTGTCATTCCCTGCACAACACACAAGTCTGGGGAAGGAGTGGTCAGATGAACTCAGACCTGAAAATGGGACAACTCTGCATGGGGAGTTCAAATGTTCTGGGTACCCTGGGTTTCCTCTGAACCCCACAAGGTATCCTCTGGGCTGGGGGATATTTTTTGTCACAGTGGGAAAACTGCTGCCCTGCTCCTGAGGTGGTCCCACAGAATATTGCAGTTTGTTTTGCTGAGAATAGATTGAAATTTTTAGATAAACTGTTTCCCAATCCCAAGAGTTTCCCAGTGGGATGATGCTCTGCCCATTAGAATAATATGGATTGTTTCCCAAAGGCTTAGGAATGGACATGCCACAGGGTGGAAAAGGATCCCCCCAAGGCCCATGGAAGAATCTCATCATAGAGAATGTTCTCCCTTTGGTTTGAGGAGTTGTCTGTTGTGCATTGAAAACAGAACTCCTGTCTAGGTGGATTATTAGGGACGTACTGGAGATTTTCATACTGTCTGTCTGGGATAAACTCAGTATCTGATGAGAACTGCCTTGACATCCATGATGTTTGCCCAGAGGAGTTGGGTCCAACTGAACTGACTGGTCCATTTTCACAAAAGAGGTTCCCCTGCCTCTGACTTGAATCAGGAGGATAGGATGGTTTTCTGCATAACCCTCCTGGGCTCAGATGAGGAATGCTGTCCTATGCACTGCTCTTGGATAAACTGTATTTTTCTTCTGAACATAAGGACTATCCCTCTGGATGGTGACTGAAGGGCTCAATGAATGCAGCATTGACTGCTGTCATGTTGCCTGCCTCACTATGAAATATGTGATGTTCTGCTTGTTGCCCCATGCAAGGTGTTGCCTTTCAGAGTACAAAGGTCTAGTGTCTTGGTTCTCCTAGTCATACAGACAAGTTTCTGCCTCAGATGGATGGCTCCTGGCATTTAGCAATGACCCTTTGTGTCTTGGCAGGTAGGCTGCCCACATCTTGGAACTGGGAGACTCACCAACATTTTCCACTGGGAGGTGTACAATTTCCTTTTGCTCTCTTGATTTCAAATGAGGGCCTCATGAACTGTTTTGGGGAGGGAAGATGCTTTGTATGTAGACAGTGTTATCATCTCTGTAAGACAGTGTTCTTTCCCAGTGACCATCAGGAAAAGAGTTTCTGTCTTCTGGTCTGGCAGTTTCTCCTCTGAGTGCTGAAATCCTCCTTCCCAGGCATATGAAGGTCTTTGAAAGACATATCCAAAATAAAGATTCTGGTGAGGGAAAAGACAAGGCATTTGTAATGTCACCAGGGAGTTGTAATACCTTTTCCCACTGCTCCTTTTGCATTCATGTTTCAGACATGTTTTAGCAATGGAAGACTGACTTTACTGGGCAGAGGTTCTGCATAGCTGTGAGCCTTGGGAAAGTGCTTGGGGGAGACCTTGCACCTGGCGTCTGTTATCATAGCATAGCAGTGGACAGAGAGCTGCTGTGAGTGCACAGAGGCAGAATTGGGCAAGTACTGCAGGGAGACACAGGTATACTGGTGCCAGGAAGCCTAGTACTGGGAAGCAAGATAGTCAGGATGTGTGCCTACAGAGCGTTGTGCACCAAATAAGCCAGCTCCTGAGCTGGAAGCATGAAGCTATGTCAAAGCTACAGCCTGTAAAGCCAGACCCTCTACCAGTGCAGACAGGCTGCTTCTGAGGCCCCAGATGCTTGTTAGGCCACTAGGTTGTGCCCCATAAGCAGACCAATTCATTGAGAGCATGCTGAATGGAACTAGCCATGTTTTGACCAAACAGCAGCTGAAGTTCCTCACCTCACACTTGAGAATAATAGAAACTCACTCCACCCAATCTGGGAACAATGAAGAAATTTCCACTCCCTGGTCCTCTTCAAGTGCAAGAGAAATCTCCCACACACATGCTGAGAGCAACAGAAGCAGTCTAGCCCCAAAGAAACCTGCCTTCTAAACTAAAATATTTCGGCAAATGACATCATCAAAGCTTCAGCACCTAGGTTTGTCTTTGTCCACATCTGGTGATATGACCAGACCATAGTATGAAGGAGCTTTTCTGCCTCACTACTCTTAAATTACAAAATATGCAACTTCAAACAGCTCCTACACTGGGATGGCATCATAACTTTTGCAGTTCTTTAGGGAAAAAGGAAAGAACAGTGACCTCTGTCTTCAGCTTGCCAGTACCCGGTCATCTCAGAGGCATCATGTTGTGGTTCACATCCTTGGATTGCATTAGAAAAAGCAGAGATCTGAAACGCAACCTCTGAAACCAAGTGTTCCAACAACTTAGATGCTTACTTTGCCCTTGGGCCAGGAATTCCATGTCAGGACTAAGACATGTTTCCAATATAGGTCTTTGGTAAACAAGAGCAAACTCATCAGGAAGCACTTCTGGTAAAAATATGCTACTATTAAGATTTTAAATTCTTGATCAGCCCTGGTCATGCATCATGCTGCCTCTAAGGTAGCAGGTCAGGTAACAAGAGGCACATCTTTTTACAACTGAAGACCCAGACTATATCCCTAAAGACATAGAATTTCTTAAAAGCAGCCTACTTTCACATTTGCACTGTAGGTCAAAAAAAAGGTCCAGACTATGTTAGCCTTTCCCGGGTGTTTCTCTCAGGCCTTGTTTTTCAACAAGTGTATTACTCCAATCTAGTAACCTTAGATCACACAGTAAGACATGTCTCTGGACCCTAAGGCTATCTAGGGGAGAGCAGTTTATTCTCATGCAAAGGAGGAATACCCCACAGAGCTCCTCTGCCAAAGACCCAAAGGACCCATCGTGGCCTTGTGCATGGGCAAATAGTTGTGGTTGGTCTTTACAAGCACCATTTCTAGCTGGAAAGTGCAGGATCGGCTATTGCCTCACATTCTATATTGATTTAGAAGCTGATGTTGCTTTGCTACTAGTGCAAATACTTGGTCAGAAATTATGAAAGTTATGGCAAGAAGAAAAGTTTCTATACTTTGCAGTGAGTTTGGGCAAGAGGTAGACTACACAAGCAGTAGAGATGTCAAGGATTAGTCACTGTGAAAACAGGAAGAACAGAAACAATGAAAGGACACACTTCTTAATAATGGTGAGCTCAGAAAAGAGTGTTTACCAAACTGCATCATCTGTGTAGAAATAGACCATCATTGTTCCACAGGTAACTGAAGTTTCTACATACTAACCTTTCACTCCAGTTTATAATCCACAGGTCGTGTTGTTATGTTATAGTGTGTGACAGCATGGTTAAATGTCATGCTATGATTGCAATTTCTTTCTCCTGCTTACACATATGTATGACACAGTTGATAGTGTCAAGATGTCTGCCTCTGTTGGCAAACAGCCTGAAAACACACCTGATTTCAGTGAGAACTACCCTGTTCCTCTTAAAGGTGTGCTAACTCCAGTGTCCATTTTTATGACTGCCTACCGACCCAAGTCAAATGAAGCTATGCTGAGGGAATTAAATATGACCATATTTGACCATGGCAAATCCAATTAAAACTCAAAGAGGTGTGCAGAATATTGAAAAATAATTTCCTTGTTTCATTTTGCTTTCTAATTTGACATGAGACATGGATATCCTTTGGCAGGGATTATTGTCCACTATATCACACTAAGACAGCATTTATATCAAAAGATATGACAATATATATGCAATATTTGTTTCCGTCTGAATGCTTTTTGTCTATCTGCATCTGATTCAAAGCTTGATGATGTCTGTGGAAAGAGTATCATAACTACAGCCTAAAAATTGTCTAAAAATATGGAAAAAATTAAGAAGTAAATTTATTTACCTCCTCAGTTTTTGTTCCAAATCCAGCTTGTCAGAGCTGGAATAATAATAAAAAAGTAACTGTCATAAAAAGGACAATTCACATTTGATAAAGCAGTATTTGCAACTGCTGTATCATCAGAATATCCAAATCAATGTCTGTTTTTATTCCACTGTGAAATATAGTTTTTGTAATACATTTCTTGTCAGAAAGAAAGGTTCTTGTTGCTTTGTTTCCATGGAATAAAATCATGTTCACCAGCTTTTTGTCAGCCTTTTTCTGAATGAAGGAAAACCTAAGGAAGATGAAAACTAAATAGAACAAAATTAAAGAAGGGCCAGCATTTGATTTTAATAATAAAGCCTCTAGGATGAGAGAGGTTTTTTGTAGAAAAGACAAATATTTGCAGAAATAGGGCTATTATGGTAAATATTTTCTAACCAGTTAGAAGATAAAGATTTTTATAATAGATCTGGGAGTTTTTTAACTTTGTCTTACTATTGGTGAGAGAATAGTAAATAGCAGATTGACAATCAATAGCAAATAGCAATCAAAACTTTCCAGTGGTATCCATGACTAAGAAAAACATGAACATACTAAGCAGAGATACTGACACTCACTGGCACTGCCCAGGACATCCCAAGGAGGCATGAGAAAGATGGTGCATCATCAACCCTCACTGGCACACCTGGGAAGAGAGCAAAACTGATGTGTTATTACCCACTGGCTATCCAAGCCTGCTGTAAGTTCTCTGCAAAGACCGTATAAAAATGTGCTCCTGGAGTGTCTCTTTGATCCAACCAGTCCCATCTCCTTCTTCTAGATGAACAAACACTGAGTCTGATCTCATTTCATAAAACTTATCTAGAGAAACTGCAAGAAATGTAAACAAAAAGGCTGTCTGCAGTGGTTGACATTTGCCCAGGGACCTGAGTCTTCTTTAACACCCTCTCAAATCATTGAAGGAAGCTCTTGCCAATGTGTAAATTGCTGCATAGTACGGTCTGATCCATATTATGTCAGAAGCCAAGTTAAAAGAATACAGTCATTCTTCTGTGAAATAAATATTTGTCTTCTGCAGCCTGTTCAGCTCTTTCCTAAACTGACCAGGAGACCTAGTTAAACAGCAGGATTTCTGCCTTGTTCCAGATGTGTAAATGCCCACTGTACCTTGTGCTGGTGATGTCCTAGTATGTCTACACTATGTCAGTAAGGTGTGAGTCTGAGCCTGTTCTTCAGGAGACACTTTTCCACTCACCCCATTGTGCACCATCAATTCTGCCCTAAAAAGAAAGTCTTTGGTTTTCCCATTTGGAAAAGTCTGGGATCATTACAAAATTGTCCACAAAGTTTCTCCATCAACCTGCTCTGGACACTTTGCGTCTGAAGCATTTCTAGTCTGGAACTACCAGTGTGGAAGAAAGCAGAGGTTCACAGGACCTGGTGGGGGCAGACCTGCTCCTAAGTCAGTCATCGCCCCACAGAAAACGCAGACCCCCTGCAGCATTGTCAACTTCATGTCTTGGGTGAGGCTTAAACCTAAAGGCCCCATTCAGTTCCCCCTGAATCCTCAGGCACTTCCATAGACCAAGAAGCCTCATCCCCAGCGTTACAGACTCCATGCATAAAGAGCTCCCTATGTGCTCCAGACCAAACCTTTGGCCCATACAGCTGCATTCCAGCATGAAACAGATACACTTGGTCTTAAACCTACATAGGAAGGGACATTGGACGTTTTACACCTTATATTTTAGAAAGCTTCTTACAAAAGTTTATACTCTAATGGCTACCAAATTATTTTATTTTTATACTGTAAAACTGGTCATGCTACATCTACACACATGTCCACAGCTGCCTCAGTCTTGACAGGGATGAATGCCTCAGCCTGCCTGCAAGAAATTGAAGAAAGAGGGTTTCCTTCACACAAGGCCCTCACAAACGCACACTTCCTTTTCAGCATGTCAAACACTGGGGGACAGACACGGCCCTGATGTGAACAGGATAGTAATGCAGTTGCATGGCTTCTTCATACATTGTACATAATAGATCCTACATTTCCTACACAACTGCATGTAGGGTGTGTAACTAGGCCAAAAGTGGTATGGGACTGCGCTAGGGCAAGAGGTATCTCCTCAGCACTTCTTCTCCCAGCATAGAAAGACAGAATATGGATGCTGTAGGGGAAAAGAAGAGTCCTTCCTCAGCTTTCCCAATAGTAAACCTGTATCTGCCTAGCACACATAACAGAAAGGCTACCATTTTAAGTATCAGCGTTGCATTGTATGCAATAGCCTACTCTAAATATACAGCATCTCAGAACAGTTTACCTCCACAGTCTTCCAAAGCAACGTAAGATGTAGCACACTGTTATCTAGCTAAAACAACAACCAGGAGCATATAGGAGTCACTAAGACAGACTGCAGCTCTTGTGACGACACATTATCACAGAACACCAAAGCCAAGGCTTGAAAGTAGGTCTGAAAAAAATGCATAGAAACAAAACTGCTTTCCTGTGGTGTGTTCCCTCTATCATGTTTCTTAGCTGGAATTTAAATGCCTGTCTAACAGGGGTTAGGTCAGAATGGTGCTGAAGGCTAATGAAAGATGAAAGGGTAGGTGTGGAGAGGTCAGCAGAGTGTGTTTAAACCGTCTTGTTCTGTCACCACTCTTCCCTTTGAATGGTGAGGCTTTGTTTCCAGTGTTGTAAGTCTGATTTGGGCATTTGTTGTCTTTTTTTGCTGCTTCACAGTTCTTGTTTACAGGTAAGGAAATCTGCCTACACCCCCTTGCTGTCTCCCCTTCTACTCAGGGCAGTTTGTCTGCATGGATCTGCAAACCTCTCTCCTCAAGGCACAAAAATCACAAGTGATCTGGGGAGGCAAGCTTTGACAGGTTCAATGATTTCCAAAAGACAGAAAAACACCTCACACCAAAGCTTTGTGGTCTGTGTTAAAATCTGTACATTGATATTTTACAAAGGCCCTTCTGACAGAGTAAATACTAGGATTCCCACTCCTATAGTCAACATACTAGGTCTGCGTGACTCAAATCACAGTTCCCATGAAGTTAGCTTCAAGGAGTAATTGATTCTGTCTTGGAATTTTTTCTGATAAGCAAGGACTCAGCCTGGGATGCTGAACATCTTCCCGGTGCATTCACTTCCTACAGCAGAAACCTGTAAAATCTTTGGAGACAAGCAGTGGGTATATTGGCTGTCTTTAAGTCCCAGGTCTGCCACAGACTCCTTTGTGGAAAACTCTAAGTTAGATCAATTAGGCTGTATCACTTCTAGAAGTGCTTACCACTGCATGAACATTAATAAATTGTCTCAGTATAAGGCCAAATGCATTGGATTTTTGTACTTACTTAAACTAAAATTGACACTCTGTGAAATAGCTGTAGTTATGTTTCTGCTAGTTCAGCTCTCTCAGTCAGGTATCCCATCCCTTGAGAGTAGCAGGAGTCTACATGGTCCCACTGAGCCCAGTTATAAAACAGAGCTTAAAACAGTCGCCAGAACCATCCATACTACTTAAATCCAGACAGAAACAGAATGGTCCGAGTGTTCTGCTCTTAATGGCTGCCAAATCCCAGCTTCCTGCATTATGATAGGAGGCAAACGTGATATGTAAAAGAGACACTGATTGTGGATGTTTTGAATACGGCCCAAGCTTTTCTCCAGTGACTGCTTCAAACGTCACTAAATCCCTGGGAACTCCCTGCAACATAGATACCAAAGATCCAAACCTTTCACTGAGAACAGCCTCCAGACATTCCTCCAAGTTCTTCCCAATCCCCTGGTAGGGCAATGAGAGTTGGGAGCTGCTCATGATACCACAAAAGTCAAATAATAGAGTACCACAGATAGAGAGTCTTCTTGAAAGGAGGGCTCCAATTATTCAAGAAAAAATACATTAGAATTTCTGTGTTCCATGACTTTGGAGGTAGGGATGTTCCATAATACAAATGACTGGTGAAGTGAGAAGGCTCATCTTTCCAAATACCTTTACAAATTATGTTGTTTAAAACCTCCTTAAAAGAGGGGAAAAAGGGGGAGGAGAGGTGAAGCCAAACAAAATTGCTATCACAATTATGGTCATCAGGAAGATGCAAGCAATGTCAGCTACAAATAAAAAAGGGACCTGCCGCTCTTCTCACAGCCAAGTTTACTTTTAACAGAGGAAATTGATTGAACTGATGATGTCCAGATGGTCCTAGCAGATGATCCTTGTTGGAAAGCACTAAAAAAAAAAAAATCAGAAGTCTCTGGATTTTTATTCTGGAAGAAATCTGGTTTCTGCCCACTGGAAGCAGTTGGATTAACTTTGCATAATCAGGCAAGGGAGACAGTAAAATGACTCATTCCTGTGCACTCACACCGATCTTCATGATGTCAGCTCTGTTTTTTTCATTTGTTTGTTTTGTGTTGTTTTTATAAAAGAAATAAAATTGTTTCTGGGTTTGAAACCCCCACTGCCCTTCCAGGCATCAAGTGGAGTACTGGGAGAAACTTTGAAAACAAGATATAGGTCTAATTGGTAAATCAAAGTTACAGTACGGTCCCATGGCCAGTGAGTTAGGTGTGCAGTGCTGCTCTTGCACACAGTGGGAATGGAATGACTCCTGCAAGCCTAGCCTGTGGCTTGGATCAGGAGTGCTGAGATAGCTGGGGAATTGCTGCAGGAACATCTTAGCTCTGTGTTGTGCCACACAGACATAATAGGAACATGAGTGCTTTCTACGAAACAGGCCAGCACCAACAAGGACTAGACTAGTCACTATGTTTTGTCTGGAGCACTGCACGTTTCCTTGGGCAACATCTCTTTAAGAAGGACAGTGTGACTCTTCGGAAGTCAAGAACACATGGCCTAAAAGTCAAGAATGAAAGGAGCACGGCTGGTTTTCTTACAGGCAATACACAGAAATAAGCTTCATCTAGATAAACTTTCCTGCATGAACAGAGACCATGATGGTCTCCTGAGACAGAGGGAGCAAGCGATGATTTTAACTGTCAGCGATGTTAGATTAGAAGTTAAGAGGAAGATTTCATGGGGTCTTCACTGGAGTAAGTTATTAAGAATAGGCTAGACATCATCTGTGGAAAGTGGCTTAAGTACAACTGAAATGCAAAAGGTAGAGCAGAAGATAGACAGATGATAGATAGATAGATAGATAGATAGATAGATAGATAGATAGATAGATAGATAGATAGATAGATAGATAGATAGATAGATAGATAGATAGATAGATAGATTAGATAGATAGATAGATAGATAGATAGATAGATAGATAGATAGATAGATAGATAGATAGATAGATAGATAGATAGATAGATAGATAGATAGATAGATAGATAGATAGATAGATAGATAGATAGATAGATAGATAGATAGATAGATAGATAGATAGATAGATAGATAGATAGATAGATAGATAGATAGATAGATAGATAGATAGATAGATAGATAGATAGATAGATAGATAGATAGATAGATAGATAGATAGATAGATAGATAGATAGATGAGATGACCTTGTGAGTGCTTTCTAACCTTATTTTTGACAACACTTTGATCACAATCATCTGAAATCCAGGAGCAGATGAGAGATGTGCTCCAAACAAGCTGTTTGTCTGTGTTACCACTGTGACAGTCCCTTTGAAATGCTGATGCTCTCTTCTAGGGCTCTCTTACTTAAAGAAGCACAATAGCCAGCTGGGTGCCGCAACCGATTTCCTACCAGCAGTAACCTCACTGCCTGTCCACATGATTCATTGCATATGAACAAAATTTCAGATTTGTATTCTCAGAAAAATCAATCTGAAGGGTGTAAAAGCAATGTATACACAGATTAATCATACTGAACTAATTATTTGTACAGAGATTCTCACAAAAACTTACATCCACTTGTCTTCATTCACTTCCAAAACAAAGAAATTCACTTGGAACTTGCTGATAGTCAGGATTTATTTGGGAAAGTATTTAAATAAAAGTGTTACAACCTAACTGACTGCCAGTGTCTTGTGAGGCCTTTGGCTTCTAATGTGTTTTAATACTTGAAGCCCACTAAATCAATGGATAGACAATATCCAAAAGCATTTAGGTATCTACAAGTGTCACCTTTAAAAAAAAAAAAATCCATGTACCACTGGCACAAGACACCTCCCAGGTCATTATTTTGTTATCTATGGAGAATCTTTTGGATTAAGGCAAATAATTTCTGACTGGTTTCATGAAACAGTCAGTTTACCTTTTTAATCAGTTTATCTGTTTAATCTCAAACTGTATCTCACTCTACCTCAAGTGTTTAGCTTCTTGACAAAGCCATTTGCTGTATGTAAGAAACAGATAATCTGTAAGTATGTTTTTCATAAAACTGAACTTGACTCATGGATTTATACAGATGTCATGCATGAACAAGGCAATGAATAGGTTCTTTCAGGAGAAGCAATTCTTGTATCCAGACAGCTGCTACGCAGATAGAATTTGATGAAACCAGACAGGGAATCATGTCATAAAGGTATCTGGCATCTGTGAAAAGATGGGGTTCTCCAGCCAATTCCCTGTAAATTGCCCTAGAATAGGATAAAGGATGAGTGACTCCCATTTTTGGTCATGATCAGGGGGAGATAACATGCTAAAAGAGAAGTCCTGGAGAGAGAAATGTCAGGAGCACTGAGAAAACCAGGACAGGAAACTATATATGGCATTTTAAATTTGCCCACAGCTGAGTGTTAGTGCTGTGTAACAAAAAGAGTGGTTTAGCCACTGACTGTGCTGGGAGATCTTTACTAGTGGAGTAGGTCCAATTGCTTGCAGCTATTGTGGTTCCCCGAAGCATGGGCTCATAAAGTTCAAGTGCTCACAAGTTCTGGGAAAGGCTGTGCTTGACCTACTGCCCAGACTATAAAATAACACTCCCCTAAATGTACAGTGCTGCTGATGGTGAGCAAGGTCCCATATCTGGGAGAGGAAAAGAGAGAAAATCTGTTCAGTGCATGTGAAACAGAGTCTGAGGTGGGAGGAGGGAGGTTGTGCTATAATAAGACAAATTTATAGATCTAGCAGATTGCTGTGCAAATCTAGCATCTGAGATTACAAATTGCAGGATTACCAGGGACTGTGGTATGTTCCAGCAGGTACTTTGAAAGCTCTTCTGCCATGCAAATCCAACACAAGTGGCAAGGAAAATGTAAGGAAATGCTTAATACAGTCAAGGAGGAACAATGAAGTACATCACAGAGTTTATCTGATAGAAGGTGGTAAGGAGCAAGTTAGTGCACTGACTTGTGCAAAGTGGTACTGTCTGTGTCTTTAGAGCTGCCATAATATGCTGTCTTGGTTTATGCCACATTTTGGCAGGAGCACCAACTACATGATGCGTTAATTTTTACACCTCCTCTTGAATTCTTTTCAAGCTCCATGTACCTCCTCTGGTCCTCCGTTTCTTCTGAAAAGCCTCTTTCTGTTGGCTGTTCTCCTTTTCTGTAAAATTTGATCCTTTCTGCTCTCTGCATAAGGCACTGCTTTGCTGGGCCTTGCTTTCACTTAGCTCCTCTTTGGAAAGTTTTCAGTGTGATAAATGATCCAAAAGAAATCCCAGATTCCTCATCTCCTTCCCTAGATTTTTTGGGACATTACTAATCATGGAAGAGCTCTAACAAAGCAAGTTCTTTCAATAAATCTTAACTTCCAAAAGCAGTGTATACTGATGATGTTGCAGGACTGAGCTGCTGGGAAATGGAAGCTCAATAAATCTCTATATTCCCTCTACAGTTTCCCCTAGTGGTTCTTCCTCTCGCTGGAAATGTATAGAGAAAAATAATTATATATTTGAAATGTAATCCTCCTTTCCAGAACATGACCAAAAGTGATTAGGACATCAGCTGTAGGCTAAAGCCTGGAGTTCACACCCTTGTTTCTTTTCAACTTCCTTGTTTCTTATCACTTACCTGAATGCACTTGAGTAAGTCTCTTTGAATTTTAATTTGCACAGTCATAACTTGAGGATAAATGAACTCTCCTATGATGAATATGTATGATAACCAGACAGACTGCTGCAGGACTGCCCAAGTGCTCTGAAGAGTGTTAGATGAGAAGAAATACCCAAGAGATAGGCTTATATTACACAATTGTTACGTATTTTTTGATTGATCCAATGCACTTTGTTTAGAAATGCCTTAATGAAGTTCAAATAGGTTATGAAAAGCTGCAGAAGTGCAAAGTCCTTGTGTAACCACAGAGCTTGCTAAAACCATTGTTTGCTACAATCTAGACCTATGAAACAGCCCGGTCGCTCCCAGTAGCAGCAACAGAGATGTGTGATTTACATTCAACAAATCTATTGTTACCTTTTCTCACACTATCCAGGGACAGATGCAGCTGAGACACTTTCTGTCACTTTCAGCCAGTCTGAAAAGAACTTTGCCAACCTTATCTGCAGGTGAGAAATGTTTGACTGGGGTAGAGAAACTGGGCCTATGTTATTTACTGGTGCCCTTTCCCCATCCCTGCTCTCTTTATCCCCCTTTGCTTTACTCACTAACAAATTCCTTACCTTGGTCTTTCCCTTTGATGGTGTTTGCCTTCCACATTCATCTTCCCCTTCCACCTTCTCCTCCTCAGTATCTCTGCAAGTCTCAGTCCTCAGCCTTTCCCAGTCTCACCCATGGGCATCGCCTACCTCTGCTGGGCAGAAATTCACAGTAATCACTGTGCAATACAAACAACACGAGATATACATTTCATACCACCACTTGAACACTGAATGTGTCTTATCCCATAACTAAGAGTCATGTGCCCCTACATGCCCCAGATGACAGTGGGCTGAAATACTTTGACATATATGACATGAGAGAGTCTGTAGGGCCATAAGGAATAGAAACTTCAAGATAGATCTGTTTACTGAGAAAATAACATATTTCTCCCATGTCCCACAGAAGTCTCTAGGACCCATAACACCTCTACTATTCACCTCCAGTAATGTGACAGAGACAGCATCTATCAGTCACAGAGGTAATGTGTGTTCCTAAGGCTTGAAGCTGTTCACCTCAGATGTAAACACATGTTGCTAGTGCTCCTTCCTAATCTGGCATTTCCATTTCAAAAATGCTTTGACTCTCCACCTCATTTCAGTTTTGATGCAAACTACTCTGAAGAGATGCGATGGATGTAATGGATTAAAGTCACTGGCAATATCGCTCAAGTTGCTGTCTCTCTCTGTGCTTGAACACAGCTGTGGCAAAAGCCTTGCCCTGCCATGATGACATGCAGCACGTACACACAGCAAGATGATCCAGACACTGTGCCTGCACAGCTCCCCTCTCAAGCTGGACAGACCTCTGGCAAATTGGAAGTCAAAAGTCTGCTATAGATCTGTTTGACTGAAGACTATGTTGAAGATCCAGCTATGTGTTTTCAAAAGCAAAGGCAGCATTTCTGTCATGTCATATCTACTGTTCTCACATTCAGGGGAAGTGGTTTGGTTTGTGGGTTTGGTTTGGTTTGGTTTGGTTTGGTTTGGTTTTGCTTTGTTTTTTTTTGTTTTGTTTTGTTTTGTTTTGAAAAAAACAGCAGCAAAATGCATGGTGGAATAAATCTTTATTATTTAAGCACTACCTTGTTCTCAGATAATACCCAACATCACCAATGGAGAGAAAAAGTCTCCCAGTACAAAAAGATGTCACAAAAACATTTGTCACTTAAGATGCATTTCTGCTTGCTATCAAGGAGATATTTAACAGAAGAAGTTGAGTACATACAGCAACATGAAGAGGAAATTTACAGTAATTCACTGCATTAACAAAATTCACTGTTAATCATCTTTTTTTCCACTCTCCCAAATAATAGAAAAAGAAAAAATTTCATGCTAGAGTTACCATTGTTGTATACATTGGTTAGTATAATTACTGCTTTATTGCAAGCCCCAGAAAAACAGATTGCTAGATCTCCTTTGCCAATGCATCATGAAGAGAAAATACATGTATGGTACAGTAGCAGAGCACTTCACGGTTCTTGGAGAGCTTTACACATGTGATCAGTAACTGATGGGGTTCATTTCCTGATTGGGATGTATGCAGAGCATCAGAGTACAAGGTAGGATACATATTCATGTCTTTCTGGACCTCTAGAGGAATTTGGCTATAAAAATGAGTGGTACAAGGCTGCCAGAGGAAAACTGAGCTCCTTCTGTCCTGGCAGTGGTGCACATTTCCTCAAGAATCCCTCTGCTCCAACCTATGGATGCATAGGGTCTCTTGACAAGTTGCTTTCAGCATGTGTCACAGGTTCACTGTGGTCCACCAACATCTTATCTGAAAGATGCACATCATTCCCTCAGTCTGGTGGGAAAGCTCTAGGAGGTGAAGAACCTCCCTGCATCTGATTGACATCTTTGGGCAACAGAAGATTTTCTCCTGAGGCTGGTGAGTAATCTTCAGTTTTGACATCTCCCTGGAGGGCTGAGTTTTGGGGCCCCCTTCCTAATCCACTATACATGACAATAAAAATAGAAAGCAGGGCACCAGAGGCTGGTGCACCCATTCTGCCTCCCTGAAGAAAAAGCAAGTTGGTAGGACTGTGTTATTTCCTCAGCTTCTCAACAATGTGTGCAGACAGCTGTTATTGGCAAGCCTATGCAGAAGACCAGCTGTCCTCCACAGCCATTTGTGATATGGAAGCTGGTACTGGAGTGACAAACTTTCAGAAACAGGTGCTACACAGACCAGCCAGAGAGTCTTTATCTTGTGGCCACGCTAGATGTACCACCAGTGCCTGCCACCTCCTGTCATCAGTGAACAGCTGGTTCTTGAAATGGGAAATGGCCCTCAACCGTGGACTTTAGGCTTGAGGGAGAAAATTACCGAGTGTGGCTTTTAAAGTCATGATTATTAATTATTTCTGGTCCTTTTCCAAGACAGTAAGTATCCACTTGAAAAATATGAAATTTTTGAAATATCACACCTGCTTAATTCTTGTTTGCATTTGTCCTCTGCCTCTGGCTTCCATAGTGTAAGGAAGTCTTACAATGAGAACATTTATGATGTAACTTAATATACATTAAGGTTACAGTAACCTCTACACAAATATGTGTTGCAAAGATCATGAGGCCCTTAGTTGTGATTGAAAGAAGACTGAATACACAGAACAATTTAACTGAAATTTACATTCAAAAAGTCCAGGCTGTCTTGCCCTATGATGTCCTAGAGACAGATGTTTCTTCTAATGGAATAGACCCAGGTAAGACTCACCTGAGTTTCTTCAGAGCTCCCTATGTCAAGTCTTTCAGGGACACCCTGATAAAAAGACAGTAGAGTATGGGTCAGGCAAGGTAAGAGTTACACCAGTGAACAAAATAATGTTTTTATAGGAAAACTGAATGAAAAAGGCATTCTGGCAGATTTTAAAACAAATTATAAAACAAATTTTGCTAGACACATAAGCCCAGTGGCCATTATTGAACAAGAGGAGTAAGGTCTGTGCCATGGCTTTGAATATACTAGCTTTTCAGTTCAGGCTGAAATTATCTGCAGCAATGTCCACTGAAAGGATAGTTGTCTGAAGGTGAGAAAAACTGGAATAAATTTACCCCTTGACTTGCTGCATAGGACAGATTTACCCTGCTGAGGGTAAAGCTAGATAAAACAAATAATAATAATAATTATCAGTGAATTAAGCTGATGCAGCTGAGTAAAAGCAGAAAGAATTAGAGTAAGACTTGGGAAATAAATAACTGGTTGTTGTAGGAGTTGTGCTTCTCTTTGCTGGACTAATTGATATGCAGTTGGATAAAACAAGAGCAAAAAGAAAATAATGATTTGTTGGTGTTAGCAAGTGTTCAGTGCCATAAATGCTGGAAAGAATGACCAGGACTCTACTTTTGGGGCACAGAAAAGTATAGATGGTCACATCTGCTTCACTTGTGTGCCCTGCTGGCTGCAGGCCAGAGCCATTTAAATGCATTAGCTCAGAGCTGCACATATACTGAATGTGACTATTCAGTTCCCGCGAGAGAGCTGGTTTGTGTCTCGCCATCAGCAAGGGCAGATATAGCAAAGATGTGTCTGCCTACACCGTTCGTGTAGGTGCGGCTGAAAACAGCATTGAGGCACTTGAAGAGAATTTATGGCTTGCCTTTACACATAGATTTTTTACACAGATGGATGCTTTTCTGACTTACTATTTCTGAAAAAAATTACATCTCCTCATCTGATGCTTAGCTCTGACTGATAATATGACAATTTAGTTCAATCGAGAGTTGCCACAAAACTTTGTTTTAATTGCATTACAGTATCTAAGAAAGCTATACATTGAAATCTGTATTCACCTTGGGACCCAAATGCCCTGAATATTTTGCTGCTGGTAGCCACATTAGTTTAGAAAAAAGCAGTCAGTGTACATACTTGAAAAAGACTAACAACAACAACAACAAAAATAGAAAGCTGAACAGAGAGACAATCAGACAGTCAGCTAACAGACAGCAAATGAGAAGAAATGTTAAATGACATAGTGCACCAGTGGAATGTATTTGGCCTGGCTAAAGAACATATCTATATGAAGAGAGCATTTCAGCTGCCTAATCTTCCTTCAAACCATCTCCTGCTGTTCTTTGTACATTTTCCATAGAGATGAATGTAAGGAAGAAAATAAGGCATGGTTTGTAGGAAAAAAAAAAAAAAAAAAAAAAAAAAAGGTAATATCTGTTACTAGAGCAACTGATAAAGCTGGAAAAGTACACCAGCTTTCAAGCACACTAGGTCTTCTTTAGCACTTGTATTATTTTATCTCCTGAAATAAACCCTTGTGGTAACAGTGTTTATTTTGAGGCTGATAGCACAGAGATAGATAAAATATGCTATGACATTGTGTCTGAAGTACCATCCTCTGTAGAAAAAATCTCAGATTTCACAGGGAAAGGGCTACTGCAGGTCAGCCTTTATCCGTAGGATATAGGTCTGGTCTTGCACTGGGCAAGAACCAAACTACACAGCCCTTGAAGTTGTCAGTATGTTTCTGTTAAAGAAGGCAGCCTGAGAATCTATCCATATTCATCTTGCAGAGCCAGTCTTCTGAGTCAAATGACCATAAGCTACTCCAGATTAAGATCTCAGAGGATATATTCTGCCCTGACTCACACGATGATCACCACCAACAAAAATATTCCTTTTTTTCCATTGATGATCATTACAATTTCTCCAGACGGAACCAGCACCGTAAAGAGTTCAACGATATAACACTACCATCACCCCACCACTTCCAGCTGTGGCAAGAATCTGGCCACTACCATTCCCAACAGAAATAAATGCCATCTTATTTCAGCGAGTTAAAGTGCAGGAACAAGTCTGGAAAACTACCCATAGTGCAGAACCTGTCCAGACACTTGTCAAACTAAGAGAAAGGAACAATTTCAATAGGCCTACATACATGAAAACTACCTGCTCTTGACTTCTGGCAGCTGGCACCTGTTGCTGGACCCCTGATAATTTTCCTTGGTGAAATGCCTGCAGCCACTGTAGGACTAGTGGCTATGTTTCATTGTGCCGGACTGGGACTTTCTTGGAAGCCTGCACTGTGGGCTGCAGCAGTGGGGTTTGTGCTTGTAACCTAGGTTGCTGGGGTTGAAGTGGTGTCTGCTGGGACAGCAAAGGTGGAGGATGGACAGACAATGTGTATTCATACTGTGAGGAAAAGAAACAATACTGTTATTAACATGTGTAAAAAAGAGATTATCTTTCTGCTGCTAAGATGCTAAGCATTATTAGAATGAAAAGCTAGTACATCCACAAAGATTTTTATTTTTAATCTATGTATTATTGCAAACACATAAAAAATAGAACTCACAATAGTACTTTGAATCTCTAAGCTTCCTTTTTTATAAATATGCACATACAGCAAATAATATGTTGTCTGAAAACAGAGGAGTAAATACCTGTGGAGGCATGTTGTATTCTGTATTCCATATTGTCTCATCTTCTGAGAAACAAACAAAAATTATTATAAACTGATCATTCTTTTCATACCTTGCCCTCATTCCATTACTGTAGCACCTTCACTATTCATCTATATGTTAATGCTCTCATCTGATTTGTCTTATTGTAAGCCTATTCTGCTTGAAAACCAAGAAAATTTACTCTCTGGGATTTTTCAAATACCTTTGCCTGAATTGTTATTTTACGCAGCTCAACATCATGCAAATAATACTGGAGATCTCATACAGTGGATTACACACCCTTATCACATTGCAAGACTCACAGTGAGAGGGAAGTTTGCCTTAAGAACAAGGAGAAAATATTTATCTTGATGGAGGGAAACAAATTGAAGGGTTGTTTAAGAACAGCTTTGCCTGAAATGTTTCTTAATGAATTTTGAGATTTGTACACATGTAGTCTTGTTCAGAGCAAAAATAAAGCAAAGCAGTTTGGCATGTTCTTATGATTCCACCATCTTTGATCAATATTATCACTGCTTTCATTTAGGTAATTCATGGATCATGGTCTAAACAAATATGCTTGTTAGTTATTCATGGTGTTTGCCTTCTGAATAAATCAGTTTTAAATATCCCGAGACTTTTGCAACAGCTTGACCTGTTCTCTTACGTATGTGACATTAGAGTCAGGCAGAGTGAGTAGTTTTTGTCTGCTTTTGTGGCAATCAGGAGTTCTCTTCTTGCATGGTTGCTGTTGTGAGCAGCGTGGCTGACCCTGCTGAGCTCCCATTGAAGTGAGTGGGAATGCTACTAGAAACTTGCTTTCATTTAGGAATACACCATGACAGCTCTACAGCACATATGCTTCCACTAATGGAAGCTGGAGCTGACACTGATACAAAAACTGCAGCCAAAAGAACTTCTACAAGGAAATTAAGGATAAATCTAGCACCCCACTTTACACAACTACCATCTGTTAAGACTAGAACATCTTCAAAACAGAGCATTATTGGCAACCTCTCCACATATCACTGTGGCTATCATTAGCTACTTGCACTTTAACTGAGCAAGTGGGGAAGTTGCAAGGTGGCAAGACTGAGCTACCTCTCAAGAACAATTTCTTTCAGATTTACCCTACTGAAAATCTTAAATACCAGCTTTACTTCTGGTGACCTTTTTTTCCTTCTTAGACCCTTGCATGCCATGACTTGGCTCAAAGTATTGGTGAAGGTTTATGTCACTGTGTTTTGTTGTTAGTATTATCTTGATGAAGTATACAGACCACAACAAGGCCTGGCTGACAAGGACTAATTCTATTTTCTTGAGCTACAAATACTAGATTTCATCTAGAGGATTGCCAGGTAATTCAGCCAGAAGCAAGTAGAATGTTCTGAAATAAAGGACTACTAGGGGCTAATGTGGGTAAATGTAATACGAAAACAGTAAAAGACAGAAACAAAACTTTCCACAGGGGAAATTCAAATTTAACCTGATTCAAACTTCAAAGTTAAAATTTAATCCAGAAATTATTCTCTGCCAAATTAACTGCATTTCAGATTAGTACGCTCTTTGTTGAGAGGAAAGTGTTGCCCTGCTATTCTCCACCCATTTTTTCTGACACTTAAAGAAGCTTTGAAATGTTTGAATAGTTGTTAAGATTTGGACCAGCTCCACTTCTGAGATTTTGCTCTCCATTTTAAGAACCACATCATCTAGACATATGATAGGAGAAAGGTGGCAAGTCACAGTAGGGGGCATATTGTCTCCTATAATACTTATCTTTTTTTCATTTGCAGCTGTCATCTTATTATTCAAGAGGTGACCACGAATAGCTAGAAGGGGCAGATGCATACCTCAAGGCTCATAGTTGCCATTCCCTGTGATCTGGCATGCTGAGGGTACATCTGCAACCAGATAAAACAGATACGAGAGCCCTCAGAGCAGAGGATGATACCCACAGACACACAGGAAAAACAGTCTCAGGGAATCCCAGTATGTGGTACAGCCTAGGGTTATCATATGAACTGATATACTACCAACTTCAATATGCTATCAAGAACACTAATTTATTCTCCTGTCCTCTACATTTCTCTGATAAGACCCTGAGGTTGTGAAAGGAGTCCTGCTGCTCTCATGGCACAAATTATCGCTGTCGTACAGATTTCTTAGAATTTATCAATGTCTCTTGGTGACATCACCTTTGAATGGACACCACAGTTAGGGCTGTACACCTATATGGGAGTCAGTTGCTGTAGCCAATCTGTAGGAAATCAAGTCTGTGCTTTAAAAGAAATTAAGATTTCCACTTCATTCACTATCTCTGCAGGCACATGATCACTTGTTTGACAGAAGGGAGCAGATAACAGAGTTGAGGTGGTGTGTTTGTTAGCACCTCTTTCAGCAACAGCTAATTATTATGTGAGCTTGGCTGAAGCACAAACCCACACTTTTCAGCTATGGGTAAAGGCCTCTCCCTGTAGAAACCAAAATATAACTAACTGATCTTGCCTTGCTTACCAGAACTTTGATAATTACCACTGCAGTTACACATTCAGTTCTCTTACGTCTACGGTTCAAAGTCAGATTAACACTCTTGCTCAAGACAGCAGTATGTTTGCTTACATCCTAGGAAACTTTGCTGTCCTGAAGTCTTCTGCTGATTTTTGCAACCACACTCTTGAGCTATCTTTTTCATTTTAATATATAAAGAGTGGGTACTTTTCACTGGTAATAATCCTGAAATTTGGAAATTTCTTTCTCAGATCATTCACTGAGCTCAGATTGGCTAACCTGTTGGATACAAAGACAATTTAGCTTCTCCAGCATCAATGAACTGGAAAGGGAAAATAGCTATATTGGCAAAAATTAGCCTGACAGTTCAGTTCAGGCTGCAGAAATATGTGGACAAAACCCAAGCAGCTGGGTACATTGTCACATAGCTTAAATAAGCAAACAACTTAGACTATGTTATATAGGTGTACAATTTACAGGCAAAGCAACATTTATGCCAATGTGACATTATATCAGTGTACTGCTGCTCATATTTCCAAAAGCTTCTTGAAATAAAACTGTGTTGTGAGAAGCTTGAGATTAGCGTCAACCCTAGCAAATCCATAATATCTATGCTAGTATTAACAGCAGTTCTCTTTTTATAATCCTATCTTTAATCATGAAGAAGTGAAGTACCAACTTTACACAATGTCTATTTTCTAATATGCATGCAGTATGAGAAACAAACAGGATGAACTGGAAGCACTGGTCAGTTCCCAGAGCTATGATATCATTGGTATTAAGAAGACTTGGTGGAATAAGTCCCACAATTGTTTAATTACTTTTAGCGAAAGCAAAATTCTTCTGTTATTTATCACAGTGCCATAGTTCAGTAGGAAAGCCAGTTGCTAGAAACAGAGACAAGATTGCTAAGTGGAGGGTCTGTGGTTCAGATAAGGCTGTACTGTTGCAGTTCAGCAAATTATATGCGACCTAAGTTGTCGAAAAGGAACCACATGCATTCATGGTGTGGCAAAAATGTTTTAGAATGAGGTAAATGTCAACATATTTGTACTGGGCTACTAGGACATGCTTACCCCTTCATGAGCCACAGCCTAGTGCTTGTTGCTGTGTTTGTTACATACAGTTTCACCTGACTGCCTTCAGAAGGATTTGTCTGTGAGCTTTTGGGAAAGGTTCCTGCAACTTCTGGGTGGACAGTACCTCCCCTGGTACAGGATAGCAGAGGATAACCTGGGAGAAGCAGGGAAGCTTCTGGAATCCATGCCCCTTAGAGTGTGAAATATCTGTGTAAGAGACCATCTGAGCTTAGGGCAACCAGCAAAACAAGACTAAGCTAGCCATACCACACAAGGGAAAGATCTTACATAGGTAAAGGAATGAAAAAATTGGAGTCAAGACCAAAATTAATATTGCAGTGGTTGTAATACCTTAATTGAAAACAACAATGAAACTGCCAGGAAATGGAGTTTTATCTTGGCACTGAAACAGTCTGTCACTTACTAATTCATATTCTGTCAGTATGGAAGGAAGTACTCTGAGTCAAAGGACTAATTGCAAGAGAAAACTGACAAGACAAGGGACAGGCTAGTAATAAGCAGTAGATTTCCAGCTGAAAGAAGGCAAGCTATGATATTCTTTTGTTTGCCATCTTTTAACAGAAAGGAACTGGAGTGCTTTTAACAGGAAAGAAAAGCAATGCATCCAAAAGTGATGGGAAATAAATGTCTTCCCATAATGCACTTAGTTACTTGTGGAGTTGGCTGTTGCAACGTATCCTTGAGGATGCCCAGCAAGACAGATTAAAGATTATAAAAAATCAGAAATATTTATGCATCTAATGGAATAAAAACATAATTACATGAGAGAGGACAGTGATTATTTATGGAAAGGATAAAAGCACTTCAGACTTGTCATTCAAACTGACAACCTAAGAGACAGGAATTTCTTCTCTAATTTGGTCATTGTTTACTGTGAGGTTCCTTGCAACTTTTCCTGGAGCAACTGATCTAGTCAAAGTCAGAGATGAGACTTTAGCCTAGAGATAATACTAGTGCCAGCAATTTCAGGGGTGGAAGGTGATCTTCATCTGTTTCACTGAGTTTTTCTTTCAAGACGAAAATTTTAAAAAGTAAAAATACTCCTCACGGTTTTCTCAGATCTAGGCATTCCTCCCTAAGAGAACAAACAAGCAAAGTTAGCTCAAGTCAGCATAAGGGCTGGCCAGGTTTTAGGGTTGCTTTTTTAATTTACAGTCACCTTAAGTTTGATGGAGGAATGGAAGCGGATGGGACCCTAATGTTTCTTTAAAAGGTCAAAACACTTACAAAGTGTTAAAATAAGGAACTTAGGCTCAGTGTTTACATGAAAAGTTGAAGTCATTTAACTGAGTAAATTTGATCTTGCTAAAGCAGTAAGAGTTCTTAATGTGCTTGCAATGGCCTTCAATTAGCTGAATGTTCACTATATAAACAAGTTAAATTAATATGATTACAGACTCAGCTGTAAATCACTTTGGGTTATCTACTGATATTAACAACTGCAGAGTTGTATCTTCTCTGCTGATTTGAGTCAGCCAACAACATACAAGTTCTTTGCCTCTTGCAGTTTGAAGTAACATGTCAGTTTATACTGCAGTCATGAGCCATTTCAACCACAAAGTAAAAAGCACATGGTTTGGCCAAAAGCTCCCTTCAGGGTTTCAGGTTTCAGAGCTGCTCCTTTTCACTTCTCTACAGCTGTGTCTAACAGGTGAATAAAGTTCTCCTTTGATACCCAGAGAAGCATCTCAAAGATAAGACAGCTATAAATATTTTCTTCCTTAGAATTACAAGATAATGGAAAAGTCACATCCATTAATCTGCTAGATATTCTCTTGCTGAGACTGCCTGGGGCACACATTCCTGCAAGCTGGCTGGCTAATGTCCAGCTTGCTCTCCACCAGGACCATACTTGTGCTAATTCCGCTGGCTCAGCAACTCATCATGCACACGGCAGTATTGCTGTACAAACTGTTAGGGATAAACATTCTTACCCATAGCCCTATTTAGGCAACTAAAATGAGAAGCGTCTATCACCAAAAAAAAAAAAAAAAAAAAAAAAAAAAAAAAAGGAAAAAGAAGAAAGAAAAAAGAAAAGGTAGTACACTGAGACAGTTGGTCAATTCAATTCAGTCAGTAATTCTACAACATGGAATTCAGACAGACCAATGACACTTTACATGGAATAAACTTCGGGCATCTGCTATGTAAATTCTTGTCCTTGGACAAATTGTCCAGAATTTTTTCTTATTCTGGAAAGCAGAATGGATATGTGGGAGGATGCCTTTTGTTTCATCCCAATTGCAAGAGAATTACAGAAAGATGTGGGAGCACCCTGGGAAATACAATCTCCTGCTAGTCTTAGATCTCCTGCTGCAGAACAGCTAAATCCATCAGAGAAACTGTGTCCTATTTTTCCCTACCTCATCTTTCTCAGGATTCTTTGAACACACCCAGGCAAGGTAATGCTGCTGGCCCAGATTATCCAAGAGGTCTCAGAAACCTCATCACACTTTCTTCCTAAAATACATCTGGTGCCTTCTATGCTTTGTTATCTTGTAATAAAAAAAAAAAAAAACACATAGAAACTAAGAAGGTCTTCCGCTGGTTTAAAGTCATCAATAATTCGAATTAAAAAAATCTAGTTATCTGACTCAAAAAGAGGAAAGTTGATCCAGGACTAGGGTTATAAATTGAGACACAAAAGAATTAAATGAAGTTTCTAGGATCTTATGTAGATTTCATGTGTGATTTTTATTTGGATCACAAAATCTTTCTAGTCTTTAGCGTTAGACTTGACCAGTTTTCCTTATGTTCTTTCATTTTTGTTATGTTCACCCTGTTCAGTTCTCCCCAGTCCATGCAAACATACCTAGGTTTGACCTAGTCTTCATTCAGAGACATTTTTGCTTCCTTTGAAACCAAATTAGAAAAAACTCATTAGAAAAATCTGGAATTGTTTGCCTCTGGTTTTGTATTACAGATTTCTCTTACTAGCTAGCTCTATTTGCTCTTTACTTCTAAGTAGGCTTATCAGACGATTTATCATGCCTTGATCTGTACAAATGTTCATGTCAGGGGCTATGTCCTGCTTTTGCCATTCACTGTTGTAAAATAGATCTCTTTCCTGGAGAAGATGACGTTCAGATGGTGCTACAGTACCTACCTTTGGGAAATGAATATAGTAATGTATTAGTATGATATTTTTAATAACAAGTAATGATTTCTACTTCTTACAATTATAATTAATAACAATAATCAACAATAATTGTTACTAACAGTTACTTACCAAGTTGGTTCACTTTGGGTTTGCATAGAAGGGAGATATGAACACACACCTAATGCTACATTATAAATTTTCACTCTAGAACTTAGCATAATCAGCCACCATTTGCAAGGTGGAAACCTCTTGGCTGACAAGTAAGAAATTGAGGCAGAGTTTACAGGGTTAGAAGGGTGTGCTGTACTTGTGGGAGGAATAGACAGCCTGCTCATGTCAGGGTAGCTAAAACCACAGGAGTGCAGAAAGAATTAGTGGACTTCAGGAGATGATTATTGTCTCTTGTGAGTCTCTATGGTGAGTTGGTTCCTGGTCCCAAACTACAGTTGACTAAGGGCTCCCACAACCCCAAATTACACCCCATGGTAAAAATGACTGTGCATGGTACCTGTGTCTACTGGGAAATGTTATGCAAAGCATCATACATCCTCAGCAGCTGAGAATGTGAAAGCAGGCATTTTCAAACACAATTGCTTTATATGTTTCTCATAAACGGAAAAGAAAATACAACACAAACCATTTTAAGTAGCTTAATATTTTTAGACAATCATGTTTTCCTTTCAAGGTTCAATTGGAATTCTACTCCTGTATACCATTACAAAAGGTTTTTTATTAATTTCTGTTAAAACCCAAAGACAGCTCCTATCCAAATGTAATTTCAGCTTCTGAGTTACAGGCATTTTCTCCACACAGTAGAGCAATGAATCAAAGTATTTAAATGGAGACTGCTGTAATATTTCACAGTCCTTCTGGAGACAGAAATGCAGTAGCCAGACTGCAAACAGCCCTGTTTACTTGCCATACAAGCATTTGCATCTGTCTTTAGCACTGAAGCCCATAAAACATACCATGAATGTAAATCTAAGCCATGGATTCCAAAAGTGGAATTTCAATTAATCGAAGTTTTTGTCCATTTTTTTTTTTTAATTCACTCACAGAAGCTGTAGCAACAACAGACTATTTTGAAATCTAGGACAGTGAAACATATTGGATATCTTACACACTTTCTAAATCGCACTTCATTTTTTTTTCCCTCTCTTTTTTTTTTTTTTTTTATTGAATGAGCTGCCCTAGGCAATTAGCCAAACTGGAATCTTCATAAATTACTTTTCAAATATTCTCAAGAGTACAAATGACATCTTACAAGATTTTTATCCTGGAAATGAAAACTAGCACTGATTGATTGCACCTCACTGTAACACAATTTATAGATGGAATATGACACAAAATTTTGTCTGATGAATTAAATTACAGGCTTTGTTTGAGAAGAATATATTTTTTTCTATCACCTGGCAAAAGTTTTGCTGTTGCTTACAGGAAGGACTCCTCTAGTGTGCCTTAACCATGGATAGAAACAAAACTCTGTTTAACAGAATATGGCTTGATTTAATTCTGCTAACCTGCAGCTGAATGATTATGTCTTCCAACAAGCAAATTGGGTAAATATTTGCTGTTATTCAAGAACAAGGCTTGTTTTACTGTACTGGTAAAGCTCTATGCTCATGTATTCAAGATCACCTTCAAAAGTACCATCTTTCACAGGGTTATCTTGCTGAGACAACACCTAGATGATCCCTGAAGTCTTGTCCTGTACTACGAATCTATGAAATCATAGTAAATGAGTCTTACCCACAAGACAGCAGGAAATACTGGGCAGCACAGCTGTCTAACCATGCCTTTTACTAATGAGAGAGTGAAGAATATGTACCTACAGCACAGCTCTCAGCTATGCTCATTTCAGTACGTCATTCCCCACTTATTAACTCTCCAACATCTTATGAAATCACAAAATTTCTACTCAAAGCAGGAGATCTGTGCCTAGGTCTAGATCACTCAGGTACTGGTTTTAAATCTGCACACTGTTGGAGATCCAACCTCTGCCTCTGTGACAATACTCCAGGATTTGTTGCAGCTCACTCTTGGGGACATTTAAAAAGCAGAAATGAAAATACAGTTAATCTTAAGTTTTTCTTTGATAGCGCAGCTAAATTAGCACATAAACACTACTAAACAAGTGGGACTGAACATACTTATTGGCAGATGAAAGGTTCGCAGGTTAAAAAAAAGCAAAATCACAGTCTTCATTCTCTGAATTGCTACCTGCATGAAAACAAAACAAAACAAAAAACATTATTATTCTTTCTCTATGTGCTTTCAGGAGAACATAACCTGTTATTACTTTCAACACTATCTATCCCTAAAGCAAGTGACTTCACTCCAATCTCAGTACCAGATTGTGCATGAATCACATGTGTTTACATACAAAACGCTCCAAATATTTGCAGTTGCACGCACCCTCCCTAGTTTAAACTCCACACAACAAACCAGACAGAAGTAATTTGATTTTTGCCCACCATGCAATGCTTAATCAGTTCCATTATTGGTCACACATGTGATTATGTCTCAGAAGTGTCTTCTGCTCAAACCAAACATTCTTCTAAAAGAAACCCAGGAAAACAAGCATGACTTAAACAAATCTGAACAAGTATCACTCTGCATGTATTAGGGGAAGACCATAAAGAAAAGGTATGTCACACTGTCACGTGAAATCTGAGCAAAATACGCTCTCAGAAAACTCCCACCACAGTTTCACATCATATGCTAGGGATCCATTTCATCTCAACAAAACTGGTTGATTTTGCAGGTTGTGTTTTCAGCTGACACTTTCCCCAATCAAGTTGTGAAAAGAGTCTTCAGAGAAAAGTTTCATTGTTTTGCTGCAACGGCTATCAACATCAGAAGTTTTTCCCACTTTTATTTTGAATTCTACTGAAGTTTTTTTAATGCTTTTAACAAGCAACATCACAGGTCCTTATTTTTTTAAAGCTAGAATCTGGCCTTTATAATTCTTGAAATAGGTCTTCTTGTGGAATTTTGCAGTGCTGTAGTGAGAATTACATAAGAGTTTCAAAGGTCAGTGTAATCAGTTTACATGCTCTAAATTGGATTCCTCCACTACCGTTGTTGATTGAGTAACGTTCTTGGGAGAAGTTTTTTTATACCAGCCTGAAGTCAGATTGGCCAACATCCTAAGCACTGTTGCTGGGATTCATGTTACCTATCTTGAAACATCTAAAAATCAAGCATCTAGACTAAACTAAGAGTCAAGACTCTCTCTGAACTCATCTCAGACAAGATGGCAGCATGTCAGTGCAAGGGAGGTATTCATCCCACTTCTCTAAGAACAGTGATTTGCCACATGAAGATAAGTAGAGCTATAGCTTTTAGTGGTCTGGAGTTTGGTCAGCAGAACCCCTTTCCAATCCTAGTTCAAAATTAAAATATAAAAGTATTTAACTTTGTGCTAAACAACATTGTTCATCTCAGTCAGCATCAAGCAGTGTCAGAAAACCTTGGAGCCCCACATTTTATCTTTTTAATTGCAATCAACAGAAAGTCTGTAAAAAAGGATTAAATAATTTCAAAGAATGAAAGAGTCTGTCTAATTCTAGAGTGATGCAAGTGGCTGCAAAGCTGTAATTTGATGTCTGCAGCACAACAACATCCAAGGATTTGAAGAGAAACACACAGCATCAGCAAAACAGACTTCACTTCATTGGTTTGTATTGACTCACAAAACAAAAGGGATTTCAGCACTCACGTATGACTAATAATAGTCCCCACAATGGTGTCACATCCAGCAAGTAAATAAATCAGACTCCTTTCTGCACAAGCTATGTCTTACACATGATAAATGATCTCATCTTCTGAGCCAAAGGGTAAGGAAAAAATATAACTCGTGTGGCATTGAGTAGTAAAGGCAGAGAGAACCACCAGCTTCACTTGATTCCCCAGGCAAAGCTCAACCTCTCCTGCAGTTCCCAGGCTAGAGCTGATCTGTGATGCTGATTTATGATGCCTTTTCCTTGTTTCAGGCAGGTTTAAATGATGCACAGGTGAGACTGAGTGTTCCTGTGTGCTCCAGCTTGCCTCTGACTGGCCTCACGGGCAAGACAGAGCCTTCACTGCAAGAAGCAGCAACTTTAGCTTACCTGCCCTCAAACTAAATGAGAAGCTTCATCTAAAACCTGCCAAAGCCACCAAGCTGTGGAGCTGCGACCTGTTGTATTCATAGTTTTAGCCTGGACCAGAAGGCAGCCTCCCACATGCTAAGCATGTACTTTTAGATAAAGCAACCAGTGTCAATGCATGTCTGAGCAAGAGGAGAGGGAGGCTGGCGCAAAGCTACAGCTGGGGGCCTGTAAGTACTCAGAGCTGAGAAAGACAGCAAGAACACACAAAAACCATGCAAAGGTACAGGGTCTTGCCTGCCACTGTGGCAACCAGGATGAGACACAGGAGAGACATTTCTCATCAGTCTGCTTCCTACCTACATTAATATTACCTTGTGTCACAGGCCTTAATGAAAAGTGTGGAAGTGTCACCATTTTGAAAGACAGACAGGTCTGAATTTAAAATAGTCTAAAAATATTATCAGGTTCTGCACAATCAAAAAAGTGACCCGGAGTTGTTATCACAACAGTCTTTATAAAAATCCACTGTAAACAGACTCAGTGTTGTGGTCAAGAATGAACAGGCATGTTCACTGCCCTTGAACTGGACTTCCTTGCTAAGTGACATGATTACAGAGACAACATTCTTTTGTGCTTTTGCTATAATCCTTTAAAGTATGGGTAGGCCTATGCTGGAGATCTTTATCCCATAAATGGAATACACTACAAAGGTACACCAGACAGAGGTCTAGCCATGTCATTTTTAGCATGGTTGAATGCTCACATGGCTCCACTGTTTGGAGAACTCAGGCAGTTGTGAGTTAGTGCATCTGCACTGTGTTTGTCCATCATGAAGTAACTACATGATGGAGAAGGATAGTGTAGACACTTGGGTGTGCTCAGGAAGTATGTCTCTGTCAACAGATCACCTCTTATGACAAGGAATACCAGAACAGGTTAAGTGACCATGCTTTCACCCTAAATACTGTTTGTAGGGGAAGTCTTCCTTTTTCCTGATGTTCAGATAGAGTGTTACAATTGCCTCTAAGCAATATGCAAATTCACCTTGCAGTCTTGGCCAGAACATTTGGTCTGTTTGGTAAAATGTAGTCAGATCCTTTTTTTTGCTCTGTTCTGGTGTAGATAAGCCACCTTCTCTCTGCAAAAATCCCAGTTCATACTAGGAGCTAGGATTTGTTCCCCTCCCTGTGGACAGTGCTGGGCCCTGCACCTATTTCTGCAGGACAGTAATGTGTCTTTTGGTGAACAACCACTGCGAAAATAATCCCACATGTTCATCTGTTAGTAAGACCCATCATTCTGTTAATAGTGCTAAAGAAAACATCTTTATGGTGGTTACCAAAAGAGATTTAAAACTTGGTGGGGAATGCAAAATAGCTCCACTTGATTTTCCAGAAAATGAAAAGCATTAAAACTTCTAAGTTCATTGAGTTTGTCACACACCTCTTTCCTGCTCTTTGGGTCTGCATGCATTGTCATGGACAGCAGAATGCTCCTGCTTACCTCTTCCTCTTCTCCTCTCTGTGTGCCAGAAGCTGTCAAGAGCCAGAGAACGGGGTTCAAGAATGCAACCTGGTCCTTTGGTGTTACTTCAGCTCTGAAAATATGAAAGAAGGACCTGATGTGAGCATCTTTGTGTAGCAGGTGTATTGCCAGGGACACAGTCAAGTCCCATGGGAATAACTGTGGGAACAAGAACAGAGTTTGGGCCAGTTTCAGTGTCAGTCCACTGAATGGTTTGCTCCAGTAATTAAAAGACCAAGATGTCGAGTCTTTTGGGCAGTTATGCCAATTCCCTGCAATAATCTGAAGGTCTGAATGCTGTGGTTACAACATAATGGCCCAACAAAAAACTGCTAGACTATTAATGGTGCAGACTCTCTTCACAACTACAGATATCTTTGTGACAAGATAAAGACAGGCAGAGCACTTTTAATTCACCAGAACGACTGTTCCCTGGAAAGCACTAAGAAAAAGTTCTATCACAGACAGAAGACTCACCCTGCAAATGCAGGATGAAGATATATTTGCTCTCTGCTGTTGCAGAAATGAAGTCTCTGAGCTCAACTGGTGCTTGCAGTGTCTGCAAAAGGAACAAGACTCATAGATGAAATCAGGCCTGGCAGGGGTTCTCATTGCCCTGAAAATCTTGTATGGGCTGAAGGAGGGAGCAGGAAAAGACCACCTCAGTGAGATGCTATTCGACAAACGTGTTGAATAAAATATGTGCTTCTTCTTCACAGTAGCCCCTGCTCAAAAGGTTGTTACACAGTCACTTCAACTCCATGGAAATCCTTATCACCACTAAGAGAGGTAGCCTAATTTCATGCTGCAGCACACTGCAATTCAGTTATACTTTCCTTGTGCTAGCTGAAGAATACATGCAATTTTACAAGACCTCAAGTTTAAAAGTTCTTATGTGTTTTTTTAAGGGTATTTTTCAGCTGATCGGTTCCTAGGCAGGCTGACTGTTCGGTTGCCTGAACATTTATGCCAGAACAAGCAGAGGAGTAGAAATAGGAATTCTAGGATGCGGAGAGGGCAAGACCTTCCCTTTGAGCACCAACATAGACATACAAAAGTTTAAAGTGACCAGAAAACCACAGGGATTTTATGGAAAGCAATACCTAGAAAAGAAAACATCTTGTTAGTACATAACCTCAAAAATCAGACCATGTCCCTGAGGTTCCGAAATGTAAGCTCAGTTCTTCAGAAAACCACTTCTCTGTTCTTCAGAAAACCACTTCCTTTTTCTTCCCCTTTCTCTTCCCTCTAGTAATCTTAGTAACACAACAAAACAAAATAAAAGTTGAATCCTTGACAGATAGGTGATGTTGCAACACAAAACTGAATAATACAAATTAGTGCTTTGTAGTCTCTAGGCCTGTGATCCTTGTTTGAAGCTTAAGCATTTAGATGCCAAATTTCTGGAGTCTTTAAAGATACACACTAAAGTACAGTAAAGAGGTAAAAATGCAGCAAGCGAGAGCTGTGGAAGGGATTTTCAAGAGTTAGCATAATTCAGAAAACTTACTCCCACCTCTCCTGAAAATATGTTTATATAAGTAAACAATCATTCTGTACTGCTCTTTGTCAAAGATTGCCAGGATAAGACAGCTGGGATTTGCCTGAATAAGGGAAAGAAATTTTACTAGGAATCTTTCTTTCTCCTTGGCTAATTGTACACTGTTGTGGTTTGAGCCTGGTTGGCAGCCAACCACCCTGCAGCCGATCACCCACCCTCCCTCCCACAGCTGGGAATGGGGAAGGGAATTGGAGGGGTAAAGGGAGACTCAGAGGTTGAGATAAGAACAGATTAATAACGGTAATAAAACGAGAGCAATGACAGCAATAGAAAATATAAACAGGCAGTGTACAATGCAGTTGCTCACCACCCGCTGACCCACACCCAGCCTGTTCTCTGCCAGCGATCGTGAAATACCAAGATCCCGCAATCACAGTCCAGGAAGTGAGAGAGAGCGAGAGCCCCTTCCCGACCACCACTCCTCTATATAGTGAGCATGACGTTCCATGATATGGGATATTTCATTGGCCAGTTTGGGTCTGGTGCTCTGGCCGTGCTCCCTCCCTGCTTCCTGTCCACTTGTGCACGGGCAGGACAAGGGGAGTTGGAGAGTCCTTGAAGTCTCAGTAGCAGCTGAAAATGTCAGTGTGCTATCAGCATTCCTTTCATACCAAACTCAATGCTAAATCCAAAACACAGCACTATTCTAGTTACCAAAAAAGAATATTAACTCTATTTCAGACCAAACCAGGACAACAGTCCTGTGTATGAGTGACTTGTGGGGTTTTTGGTAGCAGGGAGGGGACTATAGCAGTGGTCCCCCACGAGAAGCTTCTTGAAGCTCCTCTGGCTTCAAGTCAGACCCAGCTCTGCACCAAGGCCAAGCCAATTAGTGACAGTGGCTGCACCATTGCAATAATGTATTTAAGAAGGGACCTGGGAGGAGGAGTTGGAGTTGTGAGGATGAGTTGTGGCAGCTGCGTGAACACCAAGATCAGTGGAAGAACAGAGGAAGAAAGAGGGAGGGAGGTGTGCCAGAGCAGATATGCCCCTGTATCCTGTGGTAAGACAGCAGGGTGGCCCACCCCCCCCCCCAGAGGAGATCTTTGGTGGAGCAGATGCTGATATATGGCTTGTGGGGGGCCCCACATTGACATTTAATGTGTCTGTACCTGAAGGAGGCGAGGACCCTATGGGAAGAAGCAGCTCCCACTGTTGTAGTTCAGCTCTGGGAAGATTGCAACATGTGGGGTTTTTTCCATGTGGGAGCAGCTAGGGAAATGCAGTGGCCTGTGGGAGGGACTGATGTCAGAGAAAGTTTGTGAAGGACTGTCTTCTGTGAGAGGGGGACCACAGTGAAATAGGGGGAAGAAGTTTCAGAAGTTCCCCACCCCAACCGCCTAAGATGGAAGAAGCGGCAGCACTGACTGCATCCCCCATTCCCTGCCCCTGTGTGGCTGGAGGGACGAAGTAGAGATATTGGGAACAAAGCTGAGCCCAGGAAGAAAGGAGTGGTTGGGAAATGTGTTTTCAAGATGTGGTAATACTTCTCACTATCCTACTCTGTTAAATGTTGTTGGTTTTAGTGTCTGCATTAAATTTATGGAGTTTTTTCTTCCCCTGAGTCTGTCTTTTGTCCATGACTGTAATGGGTGATTTATCCCTCCCTGTCCTTATCTCAAATCCCGAGCCTGTGTTTATTTTCTGCTTCTCAGCACTGGCGGGGAAGGGGAAGCAAGCAGCCATGTGGTGCTCACAGACTATGCTTCTTTTCTGTAACATGCTAACATGACTTTGCAAGCTGATTTTCCCAGACTCTGTGAGCAGATGTTGCTGCCAATGGGGCCCTCTGTGTGTTCTCAGCAAAGAGCTCATTGAGCGCTTTTTTGGATAGAGATGGATTAATGGACTAAGACTCCAAGGGTGAGTACAGATAAAAGAGCCTCTGCATATATCAAAATCCTTCTTTGAAACATGTTCTTTCTCTCAGCTTTCCCTTTCTGTCACATCCAGGTTTTGGGTGCAGGAGAAAGTGATCATACATACTTGTGGCTGTCATTCATCAAGTCCAGCTAAACCTCAGCTTAACCCTTTGCTAGAGTACCAGTCTAGTTTAGCCTTTCCAGAAAGTTTTATCTATAGATGAATCTGGCTTCGTGGAAGGTGTCCCTGCCTATGGCAGGGAGGTTGGAACTTCCAACACGAACCATTCTATGATTCTGTGAATCCCAGAGCTGCCTTCTGCAGATCCCTGACTTCTCAGAGAAAATCCACTTACCAGTATAGTGGTACACTCATTTTCTTGATAGAAGTGTTATTTCATGCAGTCAGAAAACACTACAAATGACAAAAAGCATTAGCTTCTGGAATATAGAGAATATAGAGACTATCTGTCAATGCACCTATGGATCTTCTTTCCCTTTTCATTGCCAGCACATATCCTGTATAAAATCTACAGGACTATGATATATCACATGGATGTAAGCACACTGGACTTTGTAGGTATTTTCAGATTTTTTTTTAAAGATTATTTCCCAGACTTCACCACGTAACCACTGTATTTAATGTATGGACTCTGGACTCTTCACATCAAAATATTTTCAAACCCTGTCAGCAGACAGCTTGGGATGATCAGACTCAGTAACATCCTTGAATTAAGTCTTGTCCTTTATATAAATTGCTGGAGACACAAAAGTCTGTAGATCACAATATAGATATCAATAACTTGCTAAGTGCACAGGGCTTTCTTGAACCAGCCTAGAGACTGGCTCAGCAATTCAGGGGAAGCTGAGACTCACCAAGAGATTTTTTTCCCCAGCATGAAACAGACATGTTCAAAGATTGCCCTCCCCATTTCCAGATAATTCTGGATCCATGCAATTCAGTTATCCTGGTCTGCTCCTGTGTAAATATGTGAGAAAATAATGAGTTTTCCAGCGTCTTTAATTGTCAAAATTTGTTTAGGTATTCAGTAATTCTGCTATGGAAGCTGACATGCTCTGAATGCTGACAGACTTATATTGAGAGCGTCAACATCCATACAGGTTTCCTCCTTGGTGCTCACGTCTCTTTCTTGAACAAAACAGTTCAAAGACTGTAATATAAAGCACATAAGATTTATCACTCTGGATCACACCAAAGCCCCATTTAGTCCTCAATCTCAGCAACACACAAAACAAGATACCTGAGAATGCGTGTAAACTCAGGACAGACCTACAATGATACTGCTGCAGAATGTTATCAGAGATGGTAACAGTTTTGTGGTTCTGAAAACTTCATAAGTCACAAGCATATTTCTATATATTAACCACCCTCCAGGTAGGACAGGACAAATTCTCTTCCATAAATTTGTCCTATCTCCTTCTGAATCCATGAAAAATCAGCCCCATCGCATTTTGGAGTAAGGAGGCCCATGGCTCACCTACATATTATGTGAAGAGCCATATCCTTTCCTTTGTTTGGACGTGTTACCTTTTGGTCTCATTTGGGGTCCCCTATTTCTTTTGCTATGAGAAACAGTAATTTCCGTATTTACTTTCTCCATTCCTCTCAGAATACACCTCTATCCTACTCCTGTCAGTCAGCTCTTTTCCTTGTCTACTTAAGCATTACTGCTTTGCTACACACCTACAAAATCCCTGCATTGCGTACATAACAAAGCACCACAGGGCCCTGGTACCAATTGGAGGCCTTGAAAGCTACTGTAGCACAAACAATAACAAATAAGAAAAAATGAAAAAAACAAACCTAACGTCAAAAAATAATGAAAAAAATAACCAGAGGGAACAATACCAGAGGGAACAATAACCTTCCCCTCAGTAAAAGACAAAAATCACAGAAGTATTGCTTTGCATTTCAGCCGGGCTTACTGTCAGAGAAATGTGTGGGCAGGGCTGCAAATCAGAGAAGACACTGTTTTGCTGCTTCATCTGGTCATTGTGTCAAAAAAGTCACCTTTGTACATCTGAGCATCAGTAGAACTTGCTGTCAGAAGCCTTAACTGTCCCATTTTCCCTCTGATAAACTATGTTGAAGCACCTTGGAAACAGCAAAAAGTGAATATCATTAATCATAAAATACTTATGCGACTGGACTGACAGCTATTGTGAGAAATGTCAGCCTCAAGTGACACAGACACAGAGAAGCTTGAAATGGAAAAGCTGCCTCACCTGTAACTAAAACATCATGAATTAGAGGCAATAATTGGCCCTACAAGCAGAGATTAATATCATCATTATTCTTACTACTTGTCACTTTAAATCTTGGTATTAGATGATGGCTCTAAGATGTTCACAGCTAAAAATTCCTGACTTCTGTCCGTATCAAGAGACTATTCCCCATCTATTTGAAGTGGAGGCTGCAAATAGCCTCCTCTGTTGACCACTATCTGGAGTGCAATTTCAGTGTGAGAAACCAGCATGCTCTGAATATGGCTAGGCTTACTATGAAGTCAGTGAGGATTTCTGTGCACTGAGTTTTTTGAGCTTTAAAAGGATGATAACCTTCATTTGCTAGATTTTTATCCACTGATAATAGGCCCTACTGACTGGAAGAAAAGAAAATCTGTTACCCTCTCATACAAAATTTTCTTTGTACAAGAGCAACACTGGAAATAGCTCAAATTATTAAGATGAAGAAGAGTGTAGAAGTTTTTCAGTTCAGGTTTGTTAGCATCTCCATGATTTCTGAGAATTTGCATACAGAAGTCACACAAATGTTGGCCTGTCATACAATACTGGACTTTGAGCTGACATCATCCTCACTTTGAGACAAACTTTCCTAAACTCTCTGTGCACGTCTTTCAAATCAATGTAATTTTTCTTTGGTGGAGCTCCTCATTAAGCTGGGTCTGGACAACCTATTCAAATACAATTGTTCTTCCTGAGAAGAATCTGTAAGCACAGATGGCAACAGGATGCATCTGGATTTGTCTGCAAAAAACATAATGGGAGTTAACAGTGTAATCTGGCCAGGACAACTGAAAGGTAATTTAAGGTAAAC